TCAATTACTCTCTCGTTGAAAGCAGGCATGTTTCGGACTAGTTCCCTCTCCATGGAAAGCATGGCCAGTGCATTCAGACGTTCCTGTCCCATTACATTTCGGAGGAATGTCTTGATTCTCTTTAAGGTTGAGAAGCACCTCTCAGCTTCAGCAGTTGTCATGGGAGTGGTTATGAGGATGTTCAACAGAGTTACAGTCTCAGAAAAAGTATCCTGGAGGTTGTACTTCAGCAAAACCTGGTACAGTGCCAGTGCACCACAGCAGCCCTTGAATTCTGGACTGTCATAAATGAGAGACAGTTCAGTCTTAAGCTTCACCTTATTCAACGTGGGGTATGCCCTGACAGTGATGTTCAGAGCCACAACAGGGAACATATGGCAATGCTGTTCAAACCTCTCTCCTTGTAGCAGCGTGGCACTCACAAGGTGGTCAGTGAATGAGAACCTTTCTTTGGTGTGGTTCAGGATTGTGTCGCAGATCTGTCAAAAATAAAGAAATTTATTTTGGTAATAAAATTAATTGTTTATTATAATAAATTAGGGTTGTCAAAAGTATCAGAAGTATCTACTTTTAAAAATGTGACAATACCAGCATTTGTTCACGCACTCAACAGATATGACTGTGATTGGCTACAATGATCATTGATTCACACTTTTCACCAAGCGCTTACACAGAAGCACATGCGAGCATTTGAAAGCCACGTCTATAAGCGGATCCCTAATATATCTGCTCAGAAACGGATCCGCTGATAGATGTGGCTTTCAAATGCTCCTGTGTGTATCTGTGCAAGCACTCAGTGAAAAGCGTGAAGCAATGAAAACCAGTCCAAAATGGTTTATTTTCAGGAAACAAAAAACCCGTGAATTTTTTAAATAACTGTAGGTAATTCAAAAGTACAATACTAGGAGTAAAAAAGACTGCTACCATCCATTCATGAGCTAAATGTAAAAACAAAGTGTGTGATATTCCAGCACTTAAGTAGACATATTAAATTAAGTAATAAATTCCTATACCTTTTTAGACAGCCTCTGCTTCTCTTCTCCCAAGGCCTTCCTAGATCTTGTCGTTTCTGTTGCTACTTGCTGCAGTTCTTGCTCTTGAAATGAGCTCTGGTCCCTGAAAGCAGACAGATCAACAGTGTTTGTATATGAATAAAACTGTTTGTCATTGACAATACCTGCAACGCATGTCCTAGAAAAACAGAAAAAAATACAAATAGTCTGTTTTATATATTTGTTCTGACAATAGCTGGAACAATATAAAAATTGCTGGCTTAATGTTGTTACACACACGGTAACTACAATTTCAAAAGATACAGATGACTAAATTAGTTTCCCAATTTGAAGTTGTTAAGACTTGTTACTATATAGCATACATTATGAAATGACATGGTTCTATATTGAGAAGGTATGAACAATGTTATGTGATCTAACCTTATGGTCTGCACGTTCATTGTGAAGTTCTGGAGGGCTTCTTTGATGAAGACTGCATCAATGTCCTTCTTCTGCAGCTGCTGGTACATCATGTCAACGTGGGGCATTATTTGATGAAACAGTTGCAGAAAAAACTGGAAGTCTTCATCCTGAAGCATCCTCAGGAAGCCAGATGCCTTCCTCCCTGTGGTGCTATCAAATGAACCGGTAGTCACAATAGATCTGAAACACTCTTTGAGATCATCTAGGTTCTCGTATACAGTGTTCACGATTCATCTTGTGGATGAGGCTCTTGGCAGCCTTCGTGCAACAATCTGGTCGAGAATAGTAGTGCGTTTCGGTGACCATGTAAAAAAGCTGGTGATGCCACTCAGATCAGAAAAGAAAACTCTAACTGCTGGAATTTGAGAAGTAGCTTGCTGCATGATCAAATTCAGCTGGTGTGCATAGAAATGCACATAATGGGCAATCCAAAAGCTCATCTGACACCAGTTGATTACGTCACATAAAGAGCCTTAGTGTATAAAAGGGCACCTGTATTACGTCGTCAGCTTTGTTGTCTTGAGGAAGCCACTTGTATGTGTGCTGTGTGAAAAAGCAGAAAGAAAAAGATAAAGCATGTGTGTTTAGAAAGTGTATTCCACCTTGTCCTCGTTATTTTATGCCCAGCAATGCACACAATTTATGTGTGATCTGTTTGGGAGCAGAACACGCACGTTCAGCCTTCAAAGGGGCTGAATCTGTGGATTTTTTTTTTTAAAAAGCTCTGCTCTCACCTGCCTGTCTTTGTGAGAGATAGGAGACAGACTTCTGAGCCTTGTGGTTAGAGCCCTGTGTCTGCTAAGGCAGCATGGCAACTGTGATCGTGGGGATCTCAGATGGAGCTAGCAGAGGAGTTTGACAGGGGTTTCCTTTGCTTCTGGATGACTTTGAGATCTTTCAGGCAGACAGAACTAGTAACTTGGGGAAAGTGCGGGGAGATGGGGTGTGTATGTACATCAACTCGTGTTGGTATACTAATACAGGGATTAAAGTTCCATCGTTACGATGGATTTCCGTCAGTTCATAAAGACAGTCACTTGCTTCATTCCTGAATGCTTCAGCCATTCGAACGAATCAATTGAATGAATGATTCAGTGATAAAATCAGTGACTTGCCGCCACCTGCTGGTGGATTTAGTTTAATTTTTAGCGTATAATTTCAGTAATCTTAATCATATTTCAGTATTTAAAATGTTATATTTAAAACATTCATCTCCACATGAATTTATGAATTTAATTGCACTCATGCCACCTCAATGTCTGAAAATGAACCTACAAGCCCACATAATATTTGATTTGACATAATTTGAAGTTCAGAAAAAGTAACAAGATTGTGTATTTAACTTATTGTGACAGGCAGAATGATGCATGTCTCAAAATAAGTGAGTTCATCCCGGAAGTGACCCATTTTTTTGATGCAGTAATGGTGAATGCAGCACATGATGATGGGGAAGTATGAGTCAGGGTTTGTGGCTTCATGGGTTCTGTACCTTAACAATTTCTCCCCAGT